CCGACTACGATTCGCCTTCTTTTCTGCTTTCACCCATTTCATTCTTCACCCTGCTTTTTGGTGGTAATGTCTGAAGTTTCTGGGCAGATTGGATCACGAAGGTACTGCTATTGTGGGCATTTTGATGCGTGTAAGGACTTTGTGGACAGGGAACAACCCCGCATAGAGGTTTTTTTGCTACCGAACCTATGGAACGCATGATGCCTGTAATTTCTTTGATTGCGTTGACACAACACCTGATGATAGCTACAATGTAGTTATTAATGGATTCATACATTCGAAGAGGAAAATCGAAAAAAAAAAACTACAAGATTATAAAAAAGAACAAAATTGCGTTGTAGGTCGTTTTCGTGTTCCTTGTAATTTTGAAATGTTGGGATATTCTGTTAGATATTGTTGGTGACATTTCAGCATTAAGGTTTGGATTATGTTTATTCATCGTTTTCTTTCGTGTGTTTGTAACTGTAGCACGAAGTGCGGAAGCAGTTTTTGTAATGGTTCTCCTGTTAACTACACTAAACTTGCCATTTGGAACCACCAGACAAGTGCACATTACATTCCCTTGATTTTTGAACCAGCTTCTGTGCCTTGGATTACTCATATCAACCACTGCTGAAAACTCCGAAAATCGATAATCAGCATCATCATCGGATGCACAGGTAGCCTGAATTTCTTCGGAAATTGGATACTCCAAGTCATCAACTTCGACAGCATTCCCATTCTCGACCACTCCTCCGCGTCACCCACATTCTACCGTAACTCTATTCCATTCGTCACATCTAGTCCATACAAATAGTCATCCCCTTCGGAGTCCATCTCATTCTCGAAATCGCTAAAATTTAGGTCCTCGTCCGATCTGGAGTCTTGCCCATCTGTTGAATGTCCATCACTTCAGATTTATTCAATTTAGGAAATATCTCAAAATCTGCAAGACGGAAATTTCCAAGTTAGGAACCGTATGTAGAAGAAAACTTGTATGTAAACTACATAACTATGAAATTGGGGCCCAAAGATTGAATATGCAACAAAATTGAATGAAACAACACTGGGAAAGTATAAAATGGTGATTCGAACAGAAAACTCCAACGACAACAAAACGAAAGAAATTAAGTTCAAATTTACTTTCATGTGGTTCCTCCATGTGTGCGTTCGTCCAAAGTTCAATAAGCGGGGTCGTGCGTGTGGATGAATTAAAGATTTGTGTTTATGGTTTCAAATGAATTGGGGAAAATCGAATTAGGAATCTGGATATGTGTTTGTGTCTGTTTGAGGTTGGACGTTTCATATTGTTTTTTTATTATTTTTCTGTTTTTTTTAGAGGGGAAGACAAATACGTGTTTGGAAATAGGCATGTTATGATGATTGGGCTTTTGGAGGTGATTTGGCTTCATTTTAACGGCAGGCAGCTGCCACGTCAAAGTTCTGTCCGCCATATCGACGGTTAACAAAACAGATTTTACAGGGTGACGGATGAAGTGGTAACGGGAAAGTTCAGTGGCCATTGTGAAGCAGAATAAAGTTTAGTGAACACTCTATGATCATGGTATAAGTTTAATAATTTTTAAAACAATTCACTCTACAATTAGGCATAGTAAAAATAGCACCATGTCCGGTCCTAAAATTTTAGGTGCCCTATGCGACATTTTAAAATGACGACCCTTTCACGAAATTAAAAAATATATTGAGAAAAAAAATATGTTCCAGTAATACTATTTCATTACAAAAATATGACATTTAAATATTTATTTATTTTTTACCTGTCTTGAATAAGAAAAGTATAAGTAATGCTCAAAAGATCCTCCAAAACTTCATCAAAATTCATATCTTATCACCAAATAACCATCCAGGCCACTAAACTCTTTGTGCAATTCCAAAAATTAGAAACATTAAATACCATGTGTAAAACTTTTTTTTTTTGATAATAAACAGCAATGCATTCAACAATAATCAATCATCATCCATACAAGAATTGGCATCAAGCCATAGGAAATTTTGAAGGAAAGATGGAAGATGATCCTACCATACAGAAATATCAGCAACATTCCAAGCATTCCTAGCCAATGCATGAGCTACAGAATTGCCCATCCGATTAACATGTTGAATTTGGACTTCCTGAAATCTGGACAAGAGCTGCTTGACTTCAGCAATAATATAACCTGCAGTAGCTAAAGAAGCTGGGGAAGCCTGCAATTCTTGAACAAGCAGAAGACAATCAATTTCGATCACTATCTTGGGAATGCCAAATGGTATACATAGCTGCAAACCCCGAAGTATTGCAAGAGCTTCAATGGTGGCTGCCTCATCAACATCATCCTCCCTTTTTGTTGCAGCCATTAACACTTCTCCAAGTAGTCATATTGTTGATATGCAAACTATTCATTTCATATTCCTTAAGCCTGACACTCAAATGTGCTCAATCATTAAAATGGTGATATTACTATGTATATTGTATTATTGTTGTGCAATCAACAAAGACTTATAATATAGTTTCTTCTCTTTTCTATTTGACTGTTCTTCGTGGGTTAAAAGGTGTGAGAGAATGAAATATTGAAAATGGATATGTGGTTAGCTTTTCAATTTTCACTTTAATCACTTGAATTTTGGATTGTTTATTGTCTTATTGGATTTGTAATTGATTAATTAATGAAGTAAATTTGGCATTTGGGATTCAGGTAGTAAAATAGATAGTTTAATTTTAATTAATTAATAAAAAAAATTTTTGAAAGTAAGATAGTTTAAAATTTGAAAAAAACAATTTTTTTTCAATAATATGCTAAACTTAAAAAAATATTAATGTAATATAATTTTTTTGCTCTTTTCTCATAGATATTTTGCCTTTTAACTTAACATAATAACAAAATTTTAAAAATTTAAAATTAGTAAATCATTTTAAATATATAACTATACATATATATACACCTATAATAAAAAGAAATTTAATGACCCTACGATGCTGACACTCTGTGCAGTTGTTCAACTCAGGAACGCTCAGAACTGCCTCTGAATAGCAGATGGAAGCATTTCCATGGTACAAGCAAGTAAAGTGAAATTGTGGGGTTTTGATGTCGACATAAAAATTATTGTTGTCAGAGTTGAGAGAGACACAAAATACTCGTTGGATATATGAGAAATTTTATGATTCCAGTCTTATATATGACCAGATTGTACTAATATGAACACAGAGCCCATAAGAGGGACACTTCAATGGGAATATATACTAATATCAGATTACAGTCCTCAAAAAGAATTGACCACTCGGATCATGTAGGAATTTAAATAATACTTATATATAGAAATTTTATGAAAGTTTAAAAATTGGTAAATAATTTCAGCAAATTTCAAAAGATTTCATCGAAAAAATATTAGTAGTGTGTTCATGAACAATTTTAATGAAAAGGATAGTCTTATATTAGTTTTAATTTGTAAATGAAATGCAAAAACGAAAACATAAAGGACTTGCAGTGATTCTTTTCTCTTTGATATTATAAAACAATGTTTGTTTTGTAAAATATTATTGACCTATGGAAAGAGCTAACAAAAGGGACATTTTAAAAAATGTACACTTTTTTGAGTGTCAATTGAAAAATGTCCACCA